ATAAACCTAAATAGGTTCTACACACACACACACACACACACACACACACACACACACACACACACCTTGAACACTGTTTCGCTGCTGGCAAGGTGTCAACTGATATAAGAAATTGGCATATCATTTGATCAATGTTGATGCCTTTTGCACTGATATCTGGAATTACAGATTAGCTGACACAAATTTTATTCTCCTTCACTCCTTCCATTTTCATAGCTTAATCTTTTGAACTGCTAATAGCAATATGATGTAAAGTCATTAGTGCTCATTTCAGAGAAATGAAATTGAGTGATCCTTCCTTCCTTCCTTCCTTCCTTCCTTCCTTCCTTCCTTCCTTCCTTCCTTCCTTCCTTCCTTCCTTCCTTCCTTCCTGAACATAAAATAGCAATTAGACAAAAACTTACCATTTGGGAACCCTTCCCCTACAGCCAGTGACACGGACTCAGTTTCCAGAGTGCCCTCTCCTATCTGTGCAGGATGAATTCCTGGATCCAGTTCTCTGGGGTTACCTGATAAGTCACCATGCAGGCAGAAGGACTACTGTCAACTTTTTTAGAGGAAATAAAGTAAGGCTGTAATGAAGGGGGATTCAGGAATATAAAATTTGCTGCCAGATACTGACAGATGAATGGACAATCAAGTCTAAGGATGATGGTTAAGTAACAGCAGCTCCCCAGTGACTCAGACTTAAATCTTTTCCAGCCTTACAGTCTAAGCTGGGGACTGAACATAGGACCTTATATTCCCAAAGTAAATCTATCCTATCCTTTAGCATTGGGGTAGCATTGGTATAACCTATACCAAGGCCGAAAAGCTAAAGGATTGACATTCCAATCCTCACCCCACCCCCCAGATGACCACTTTTAACTTTGCTCTTCTCATCGATTCCCAGACTTTTCTCCACATATTACTTTGAAAACCCTAGACTTGACATTCAAATATGCTTCATCAGATGAATGGAATAACGTATGCAATTTTGTAAGTACATAAAACAGGGTGGGAGAGAGAATGGAAGTGGCGATAATAGGCAAGATTGTTTTAAGGACTTAAAGACAAAATGGTAGTGCCACCACTTTATTTATGATCATGATTTAAGGAATGTTGTTTCTAACTCTCCTGGACCTTAAAACAATCTTGCCTATTCTCACTACTACTTCCCTCCTGCTCCTCCCACCCAACTAAAAATATCTCATTCATGAGTATTTCATCTGATGCAGTGGATGACCCATGAAAGTTTACGTGATAATAAAATTAGTTAATCTTTAAAGAGCCACAAGATTTGGACTTTATGCTGCAAAAGACTATTATGGCTACCTCTTCAGTAACTAGATCAGAACTTAGATGTCAATTTCCTATTTTTATGGATGTTGTAATGTTGTCTTGAAAGACTAAATAAATCAAAATATTTATGGGGCTTGAGAGCAATTATATATTTGTGTATTAAAGTACTTAATGCAGTTGAAAATGCACTTTTAAATATACATTTTGAGGCTATTCCTAGATTTATCCAAAACTAAAATGTGGGTAAAAACTTATGGAAGAGATGTAACTCCAAACACATTTACAGATCCTTTGCCCCCTTGCCTGCGCCGCTGAGTAATTACAGAAGCTATATATTGTCCAACACTTGGAGTAAAATATATAGGACATTTATTTTCTATTTATTTAGTTTAAGTTTATTAATCTATTTTGGAATAAAATATCTAGGAAAGAAATGGAGCACCAAAAGTTATTTTGATGTTTTATGACAATTTTTATAACCTGCCTTGAACAAAGTTTAGGGGTGGACTCAAAATGTTACTGACAAACCATAGCAGGATATGTTATTAAAGAAGCCCTAATTGAACAAGAGATCTCTGAGCTTGTTTTACTATATAATAATAGCTACTTTAAGATGTATGGACTTCAACTCCCAGAATTCCCCAGTCCCCAGTAAACTGAGATATCTGTAATAGCTATAAACTGAAAAATCCAGCTAGGTTCATACATCAAACATAGCCATAAAGCTCCTAGAATGAGGAAATTTAGGCAGTAATTATGTTAATGAATACCAAGGCCCATTTAAAAAAAAAATCAGAATGCAGATTTCCACCTGTTCCAGCAGACTAACAAGATTTAAAAGTCTGGAATACATCAATAGTTGACACAGGCTTCAAAGCTGCCAAGATATATGGGTTGTAAACAATGGCAGGTTCACTTAAATGTTGCCTTCTTCATTGTCAGCTGTGCTAATCTATCTATAACATAAACTGTGGTTTGATTTACACTAGGTTATAAACTATATTAGAGTTCCAAATAAAAAATAATAATGGTTCTTTTGAGGTTCAGTCAGCAGACTTTATTTTTTAAAAAAAGAGAGAATGAGGTCTCCCACTGCATTTTGTTTTTTCTTTGAGTTTCTCTATGCAGGGTTGCATTTTTATCTCCCAACAAGCACCTCAAATAGCCCAAAGGCAGATCCTGAAACAGGGACAATGTCACCACGGCTGGGGTGGGTGAGTATCCTTCACCTTTATTTGCTATAAATGAGAGAACTTTTTCTCAGAAACAGAAAAAGTGCGCAGCAAGACTTCTGTATGCACAATTTTGGAAAACACAGACATGACCAACAATATAAGAATGGTTGTTAAAACTGATGGA